TAACTCTAACGACGTTAACAGACAAGCAAGCCGATCTCGGATCACGGATTGCGAAGACTATAATTAATTTACAAAAAGCGCCGAAGGATCGAATTAATATAATATCGGTAACTAAGTATATGGAAACGTTAAACGAGCGTTGGCAAGTCTTTTCAGCAACTCATTATAAAATGCTAGATTCCTCCGGTTTCAAGGATACTGAATACGCGAAATCAGACTATTTCACTCAAACGGAGGAGGCGTATTATGATGCTCTGGGAGCCGTTACCACGGTTTTGGAGAAATTAAACGCCGCCTCGGAGCCCGAGAAAGTCAAGGACAATCCTTCTCCTACAACTACCTCGCTGGTGCGCCAGCTTCAGTTGCCAAAAATCGATCCCCCTGAATTTTCTGGTGACTTTCTTGAGTGGAAAGGTTTCCGTGATCTATTCGCCTCAATGGTAGGAAATGTTCCAACTCTTTCCGATGTCCAAAAGTTACTTTACCTTAAACGTAGCTTGAAAGGAGAGGCCGCGGAAGTTATCGTTAATACTCCATTAACCGATGATGGTTTTAAAAGCGCATGGAATGCACTTTGCAATCGTTATGGTAACGAACGCGTTTTATCACATCGCTACCTTGCGGACCTCTTCAATTTTCACACCGCTGAGAAAAGCAGTGCTTCGGAGCTTCGTCGTGTATTGGACCGTGTCAATACGATCGTACGTGCTTTGTCCTCTCTACAAAAACCGATTGCTCAATGGGATGAAATTTTTCTATTCGCGCTGACTAACAAGCTAGACTCTAAAACAAGGATTGACTGGGAGACATCTCTTGGAGATGGCAAATCCGTACCGAAATTTGAGAAATTATGTAATTATTTAGAGAATCGCATCCAAGCCCTTCGAACTCTAAATCAAGGCAGTGCGAGCAGTGCAAAGCAGGAGAACACTTCAAAACCTACGAAATTTAGTAAAGCAGCTCCAAGCAAAGCCAGGAGCTTTAATTCAACAACAAACGGTAAAAGTAAACCACCCATCAAGTGCATTGTGTGTTCCGAAAGTCATTCCTTAATTAATTGCACCGAGTTCAGAAAGCTAACGCCGGCTGCTAAAAGGGAAAAGATAACGCAACTTCGAGCATGCATAAATTGCTTAAACCCATATCATCTTGTCAACAAATGCGCGTCTAAACATTCTTGCTTTGCATGCGGCCAAAGGCACCACACTACCTTGCACGATTCTTTCACAGTACCAGTGCTAGCTTCAAGTCAGACTTCAGGTTCGGGGTCAGGGTCAACTACTTCAGTCGACAATATCTCGGTGTCGAACGCAAGCCCTGCCTCCAGTTCAACTGCCTTGACTGCTCGCGCTCCTGGCGTCGGAATCGTATCTATGGCGCGCGTCCTTCTAACAGGGCCCAGTGGCAAAACACTTAGAATCCGAGCACTTCTGGACACAGGTTCCGATTCGTCCCTTGTCTCCGAATGGGTGGCGCAAACTTTGCGGCTTCCTAAGAAACCGGTTCGAGTGGAGATTTCGGGAATTGAGGCCAAGGGCCCGGTTACGGCCCGCGCCTCGGTCAGTGCTTACCTCGGTTCCCCGTCCGACAATCAGTTCAAGCTTCCAATTGAAGCTTTGGTCCTACCAAGTTTACCCACAAAACTACCTGCAAGGTAGTTGCCCATCGCGCTTCAGGATTGGCCACATTTACGAGGTCTCCAATTAGCGGACCCAGACTTCGCCAGTCCTGGTTCGGTTGACCTTATCATAGGATGCGGATTCTGTGGGCATCTGTTTCTCAATGACAAGAAGACTGGCCCCCTGCCAAGTCCGGTGGCTTGGCTTTCTGTCTTTGGATGGGTCATCATGGGAGCACCTTCACTGCCTCCAAGCCTGTCCTCCTCCCACTGTCAGGTCTCATCCGATCTAGGAACAGTCCTACGAAACTTCTGGACGCTTGAAGAAGTCCCGTCAATCTCTCCCCTCTCAACGAGCGAACAAGAGTGCGAAAATCATTTCGTCGATAACGTTCGCCGCCAGGCTGACGGCAGATACGAAGTACGACTTCCGTTCAAGTCGGATCCAACCTCTCTCGGCGACTCTCGGTCGCTAGCTCTCTCTATGTTGATCTCCACTGAGAGAAGATTATCCAGAGATGATAACTTACGAACCAAGTATCTTGAATTTCTAGAAGAATACGCACAATTAGGTCATCTCAGTCCAAGTAATTCCTCCCCCCCAGCTTACTATCTACCACATCATGGCGTCTTCAAGACCCATGACGCAAATGGTAAGCTCAGAGTAGTTTTTAATGCGTCATCTCGGACCTCAAGTGGCCTTTCACTGAACGACTGTTTACATGTAGGCCCTAAACTTCAATCAGATTTAGGCATGGTGCTTTCACGATGGCGGCTCTTTGAGTTCGCGTTCTGCGCCGATATCGTCAAGATGTTCAGGCAAATCTCTATTCACCCAGATGATCGCTGCTGGCAGCGTGTCCTATGGCGTTCCTCGCCCTCGTTAGCAGTAGAGGACTTAGAATTAAACACCGTCACGTACGGTACTACATCAGCTCCATACCTCGCCATAAGAACACTCCTCAAGCTCGCGGAGGACGAGGAGACTAACTTTCCATTGGGGGCTAATGCGCTGCGGCATTTTTCGTATGTAGATGATCTGTTGGTAGGAGCTTCCTCGCTGTCTGAAGCGTTAGAGTTGCAGAGCCAAGTCACTGCAATTCTTCAATCCGGACGTTTCCCCCTGAGTCGGTGGTCGGCTAATCACCCGGAATTGTGTCCAATCTCCGAAACAGGTACTCGTCTATTCCAGCCCGCCGAATATACTAACGCTTTAGGTATTCGTTGGCACACTCAAACCGATACGCTCACACTCCGAGCATTCGAACCTCCTTCCTTGACACCCACTTGGACAAAACGCAGCATTTTATCTGAAGTGGCCCGAATCTTCGATCCCTTAGGCTGGTTTTCTCCAGTGGTAATAAAGGCCAAGATCCTCCTGCAGCAACTCTGGGTTGCGGGATTAGATTGGGATGAACCCGTATCCGAACAACATGCAAATACTTGGCTGAGTTTGCGGGAGTCTATGGGCCAGCTTGACACCCTCCATATCCCTCGTTGGCTGGGCTCTCCAGGTCTTAAAGAAGGCGTCCATCTTGTAGGATTTTGCGATGCATCCCAGAGCGCATATGCAGCCGCCGTTTACATAGGAATCGGCGATCCGTCCAGTTCCAATGGTCTACGGCTTTTAATGGCCAAAAGTAAAGTCGCGCCGATAAAGCCCGTTACGATTCCACGATTAGAACTTTGTGGAGCTCTTCTACTAACCAAGCTCCTTCTAGCGATAAAGCAGGGACTTCATTTATCGAAAGTTACGATTAAGGCTTGGTGCGATTCGCAAGTCATCTTGGCCTGGCTTAAGGGCCCCACATCGCGTTGGAAGCCCTTTGTAGCCAACAGGGTAGCTATTATCCAAGGTCAAATCCCGCCAGAATCCTGGTCTTATATACCCACCGACCAAAACCCGGCTGACCTAGCCACTCGAGGATGTACTCCTCAGGATCTACACGACCTGGCACTATGGTGGAAAGGACCTAGCTCCAGGGAATTCTCCCCTACATTCGGGGAACCTTATAATCACGAAGAGACCGAAGCGGAGGCGAAGACCCTTCACGCGGTTCGACCAATCGAGGCACCAGAAGAAATCATCGACCGATTCTCAACTTTAAATCGAGCTGTACGAGTACTTGCCTATTGCCGACGCGCTCTACTCCCGAAGAAATCCAGAGGTTCCACGTTCCTTACAACGATCGAATTATCGGACTCGCTGAACGTAATAACTTCGTATAGCATAACTGAGTCGACAAGGCACACA